ATATAGATATATATATATATATATACGCGCAAGGATTTATATATATATATATATATCTTACGTGTACGCGTGCACACGAGCGCGCGAACGGCGCGCGCGCTGCGTGTTCTCCAGTCCTTTACTATTAACCCACTTGCGCCTTTAACGTCAATACTCGGTCTAAGGATAGCCGGCAGCTGCACGACCGATTTTCCGCGCTTTGTCCGCGCCTGCACCTCGTAAAATCGAGAACACCGCGGGAACCGCGGGCGCGCGCGCGCGGATTACCTATGCGCGTCGAGTAGATGGGTATGTATCTCGCTCGCGATCTCCGCGATCGGGCCCGCGGACGATCGAATCGATCCCGGCCGATTCGAGACGACGCGTTTAACGACGCGAGCCGGAATCACGTCGGACGTGCGGAATGGCTCGCTTTCAATTATACGATTCCGCTGCTCTTTAATTTCCCGTGCGCGGCAGCGTGATATATCTGATGACTAGTGATGACCGCGCTGCTCGATTTAGCTCAGGCTGCGCGCAAAACTCCCGCAGAATTTACGACGGCAAAAACGCCCCGCATGGTAGGTACATCTCAGCTCGCGTTCGTGAGCGACGATACGAATTAGCGTCTCACGTATGATTTACGTTTGAAGTCGATGCAGGGCTTCATTTTGCTGAAAACGAAAACGGCGCGGCGCGGCGGACCGGACGGTCCGAAGGAAGTTGATAAGCGTCTAAGCTAAAGCGACTCCTCGTCCACGAATGACGGTACGAGATAGCATAAGCCGGCGCGAACCGGCGGATACCTTTTGACCGGATTGAATTTGAATGGACTCATTATCTTCTATAATAAACGGGGGCTCAGCCGCCGCCTAGCTGCCTTTCTTATGCCGAGGAGCCGCCTTACATGACTAGCTTAGTCGCGCACCTCCTCTCGTCTCTCTCTCTCTCTCTTCCTCTCGACGTTCGTTGCTTTTGTTCACAACCTAATTTTGCGATCAATTACGATCGACCCTCTTCCGCCGTGGTTCTCATGTCCGCTACGAGAGATATGAAGAGTCGAGCCCTTAGTTTTACGTTCGGTGGGTAGTATTAAGATTCTAAATAACGTTGCATTGTCGTATGATCGTTGTGTTATTAAATGAGAAACTAATCAATTACATTTGTTAACACCTTGATTGTCAAGCTGATTTCGGCATTGTGAGCTTAATAATAATTTAGAATATTATTATTTTAATACTTTATTGTTTTTTAATATCTCAATATATTTTTTTATATTGTTTCTTTAATATCTTACAATAAAATTACTTATTGTTTTTATTATTTTTATTAATAAAGTACAAAATAATTACAATCATACACGGAAAGAACAATTTTGCTGGATACAGATTTGAAAATAATTCTTATTAAACCATCGAAATAATTTTGTTGAAAAGTCATTGATTGTTAGAATATCAAAACGTTTTGTAGCAATGCTTTTAACTTTCTAACAAAATTATTTTGATGATCCAAAACAAGAATTATTTTCAGATCTGTAAGTATCCAGCAAAATTTTTAGACCTTTCAGCAAAATCGTTCTTTCCGTGTGTTATTTTATTTATTATTTTTGATTTATTATTCAGAGAAATAAAATCATCATTCACAAATAATCGAAATTTGATATTCCTGGGCAAATTTTACGTTACCGCACAAAATAAAAAAAAGATTTTGCTGAAGTACCTATCTAGAAATTTGGATAGATAAAAACCTGAAAATAATTTTATCGAGCCATTGAAATAATAATTAGGGAACTCATGCAAGCATAATGAGCAACGCTGCAAAAAAGTTTTGGCATTCTAACAACCAGCTTAATCGCATTTTATATTTATTTGGATAGTCTAATAAAATTATTTCAGACCTGTTTTAGCTAAATTTTAGTCTAATAAAATTATTTCAAACCTGTATATTAGCTAAATTTTTATATATACTTCAGCAAAACCATTCCTTCCGTGTGCAGATATGGATGACACGGCAAGTCAAGATGTTAACAAGTGAAAAATCGACCGATATATGAATAATACGAGTAAGCGGAGAAAGCGTTAAAATGAACCATTATTCGGTCAGAGCGTTAAAATTAGTATACGAACGCATGACTTTACTTTATAAATCAATTTTCTGTACTTTTTATATCGTGAGGTTGATCGATTTGATTTCTCTCGAGGCGAGAGACCTCGGAATAGGAGCGTGTAACTTCTTGTGCAACGTCGCTCGTCGTTTAGATTATATACGTTCAAAATACCTCGGGATAAGTTTGTATTCGCAACGCGATTAGGATTGATGTATATCGCTTACAGGAAGACAAGCGGGATGAGCCGTATAAACTCAAACGACAATGCTCTTCGCTCTCGGAGCATCGGAGTGTTAGTGAAAACGCCAAACAGTTCGCCACGTCCGTCCGAATTAACCGCGCAAACAAACGGCGCGCACTGCACATCACTTCGCGGAATCGGATAAACCTGTAGAATCGGTTGTAGTATACAAGCTTCTCGACGGTGTTATGCGTGTGTTCGCTCTCTCGATGT